TCATTACTATTAATTAACATGTATAACCATATGGGAGTAAAGTTATTAAGTATCAAAACACACTTTTAGCATATTCAACAAATCCTTTCTATAAACACAAGTTATTTACCACTAATAAAATCATTCTATCATTTGAGCCTCTATATAACCTCGACTAAAACCATAGGCTCTCGAGTCGAGTGCACATTCACAATGACTCGAGCTTACCTTTAGTGGTAGGATCACCCAGCCAAAAGTATCTTGTCCCACTTTTGGACTATAATCTCCCCTTATCACACACGAATTGGGGTATCGTTACTCTAACACTACATCACTGATGCTAAGGAGTGTCACTCTCCGACGCCGTATCTTGCATAGATACTAAGGAAAAAATTTCTAACATTATGTCTCACTAGATACTGAGGAGATACATGTCATATGGACTTTCATTACTCCTTCCTATTGGTAAACTCCCACCCCCTAATAGATCATGCTTACACTCATCATATATAACACATATACATTTGAAATTCCTCAACCAATCCATATAAAACTTTCACCATTCTCATTGTTTGTAAATAGTTTTATATGCACAAAATCACATTTTGTAATATTTAAGGTTATTAAATCTCAAGCAACAAATTAATATATCTACTCACAAATAGTTAAGCAATGTAATCAAATAATGTAAATTATTTCGTTATCTCAATCCTTTATTATACAAAAGGATTATCGTGGCTCAACGTTAGCTCCACACATTCTATATGCATGATACAGTTCGAGCAATACTTAATCTACACAATTAAGTGACAATTTTCAATTATCACTTCAGATAAACCTCAAATTTACTAGGATCTAAGTATCCATAATACTTAAATTCCTTATCTAACAATATCAACCATTTTTAAACACTCTAATCATCCTATTAAATATCCCAACATATCAAAATCATCATCAAATTTCCCACATTATCTCAAAACCTTTAAATTATGCGTAGGGTTCGTCCAAACCCTCAACAAAAATTTCAAATCAATAAAAAACTCATAAATCTAGGGTTAAAGGTTTGATTTAACTCCCCAAAACCTTAAATAAGTCAATGGGTTTATCCATTATTCAACTACAACCAAAAAGAAGCCCCTAAATGCCCTGAAATAAGAATTTTCACATAATGATGTGAGAGAGAAGAAAGAAAAACTTACCTAATATATATCAAGCTTGTAAGGCTTCCAAAATCACGTCGGCAGCTACAAGCTCCACTTCTGTCGTACCCTTCAATTTCTCTATTTCTCCTTTTTGATTTCGATTCTGATTCCTGACTAATGAAATGCAGATTTTGCACGTGCGCCACGGCACATGAAATAGAAAGCCCTATCACAATTTAAACTTTCTTCCGTGCCATGGCCTACTTGAGCTTCAACTTAGCTTTCTTCTAAGGTTGTTTAAGGATTCAAAAATTGTATTAGTCTTCTATAAATGCCATTTATCAATAGTTATCTAATTTAACCAAAATACTCTTATAAATACTAATAATTCTCGATTTGAAAACTTAATATGTTATAATTAATATATAAAATTAATTATATAAAGTTATTTATACAAATATAAGAGTTAAGAGAGTTCATTATAAAGTTTTAAAAGTTAAGAAAGTTATGTGTATGTTATTTAAAGTTATGGGCAGTAATGCATAATTTAAACTTATTTTAAAAAAAAAAATCCATATTTTTGGTGTTTGTCTCTTTTATTACTTTATAGTATAGCGTCAAAGTGTCAGGTGCAGAGCAGTTTGAAATCACTGTCTAAATAATTATATGTTTTCCTTTTTGTCACATAGCCGGCATTTTGCGTAGCAGCGTATTTTACATTGAAATGTATAAAAAACCAGATGCAATAAACTAGCTCCTAATGAGGACGTCCTTGATAAAACATTCTCCCTTCATTTTAAATTATAAAATATTTTTATTTTAAAATATAAAATATTTTAAATAAATTAAAATTTTATTAAATACATCAATTTTAATATTACTCCCTCTCTTTATAATTAATTTTTATCACTTCTCTTTTTAATATATTAAATAATGAGTATTTTTAAGAGTTTATATTTATATTTTAAAAAGATAAAGTTGTTAAGTGTATTTAATAAAATTTATTAATGTGTAAAATTTTATCTAACAGTGTATTATAATTTAAAACAAAAGGAGTATTTGTTTTACTAACATCATCAATATAATAAACTACGTCAAGTTGGGGGCAAGGATGAATCTCTTATCTTCAGATTGGATGTAAATGGTTCATACAATTGTAATGTTGATTTTGCTTGTAGAGATTTTATCCATTACGAGCATGTAATAGATCAAAGGCTTTTAGCAAACATCTTGGTTTCCATCTTAATTTCATTACCGAGCTTTTGAACATTCCTAAAAGTCTCACTCTATATTGGAAGGAACATTTTTCAAGGTCTTATTCAGATTCAATGGAGCTGCTCAACCTCATTAATAGTAGACACTCCAAGTCTCACCCTCTTTTTAACAACATTGAAAGGATCAAAAGACCTCATCATAAAAGATTAAGGTTCATTTAAAAATTTTACTTTTCACATTTGAAATGTCAAATTTCATTTTTAAGATGTGAGAAGCTATTTGAGTAAAATATTTTATAAAAAAGTACATTTTGAAATCACATCTAAATAATAGTTGAAAGTGAATTTGAGAAATGTAACTATTTGAATCTTTTAAAAAGTAGATTTGAAAAATAAAATATTATTTGACCGTATTACTCCAAATTTAATCTCTTATTTTTTTATTTCAAAAATAGTTAATTCACTAAAAATATAACTATCATTTCAATAATAATAATAATTAGATATCAAGTTTTTAGCATTATAAATTGAATAATTAATCATGTTAATTTTTAGCATAATGTATAATAAAAATTACAATTCTTCATCACATTTTTTAAATCACAAATTAAAAAAGTACAAATAACTAGAGATCAAGTTTTTAGCATTATAGACCAAATTTTATGTTATTTAAAATCTTTATCACATTTTTTAAATAATTCAAATATATTACTTTTATATAATAAAAATTATAAATTATTATAAAATGAATGTCTTTTTTTATAATTATACATTCAAAATCACATTTTACTATTATAATTTAAATAACTTTTAGTGTATTAAATTAACTTTTTAAAAAAATATATTCAAACACAAATTTTATTATAACAACTGATTTTAACTAAATTAATTTTTGTAGAAGGAACTTTTAACAAATGAACTTTTAATAAATTAAAAACTAGACACACATTCAATAGTTACATTTGTCCATGTCTTCATAGAGGATATTCTTTGCTCCAGCCAGCTTGCTTGTTAAATGCAATAGGACAATTCTAATGTGCCTAAACCCTAAACCCTAAACCCTAAATGACCTACCCCAAGAGTACAAAGATCTTTTGTCAAAAGATCTAACATGGTTTTACCCATGAACTTGTATTAAAAAATATTTTATATGTGTTCTTTTGAGTAATGTTTGTTTAGGATAATCAATCACTCATTGTGGCTATGCAAATGATACAATTTTATTTTATTTTCTCAAAGTATCAGGCGAGAGTGTCGCTCTATAAAAATATGTTATTAATATCTATAACTCTTGTTTTGGTCAAAGCAATCAATAGAAATACATCAAAACTTTTGTTTAATCCAAAATCCAGATATTCTTTAAGATTATAAATTGGGGTGGGTTAAGTATTGGGTGTTTGTTTCTCCTCTTTACTTGAGAAATATCTTGGAACTATTATTGATATTTGAAGAGATAAAATTGTAGTTTACAGTGATATTTTTGTTAGAAGGTTAAATCAAAATTAGTTGATCATTTAAAATTGATGTAAATACTAAGGCCTCTTATCATTTAAATAAGTAGTTGAGACTTCAAATTTTAATCATTATATATATAATAACTTAATTAGCAAAGGTTTACTCTTCACATTCAATACCTTGAAGGAAATATTGGTAATATACTCTTGATTTCATAAAAAAATTAAAACATATTGAATGGAAAGGAAATTTGCTTTCCCAAGAATGATCCTCGTCAAATAACTAAATAAGTTATCATTTCACTTGATATTTTTTAACTATTCAAGTGTTTCAATTTGTTTCTTTGTATTAGTGAAAGACTCACTGGCGTGCTGACTAATTTTTTTTTTTTGCCCCTCGTCATTCTTTGTTTTATTTTCACTTGCAGGACCTTTTATTATTAATATTATCATTTGACTTTTTATAAAAAAAACAGTTTTCAACTCCTCTTCCCAAGCAACAGTTAAGTGCGTTACTGCTATGATGATAGATCCAGGTCTAGTTCAGTCTGTTCCTCTATTTCTATTCTCTATTTGCTCTTTTTCCTAAGACTTGGGACTGCCTGAATTTTCTCATATTTTTCATATGTTTTGTGATCTATTTATTTTTACATAGTGGTTTACTGATTTATTAGCATTATTTTTTGATTTCTCATGTTCTTACTGTTTCATTCCCCACTTTTGGCCAGACACAGGGCATGTTTGCATTCTATTTTTAAAAAAATTATTTTTTTTCAAAATAAAAAGATAAAAAATTTTGTTTGAGTAGTTGTTTTAAATTTAAATATTTTTAAAATTATTTTAAATTTTTATTTTTTAAAATAGAAATAATTTAAATTTTTTTAATTTTTAAAGCACATTATATTTGATTATTTTAAATTATTTTTAGTTATGATAAACTATTATCTTGACTTTTTTTTAATTTGAAATTATTTTTAAATTAATGTAATTAAATGGATTTTCATTTCATTTTATTTTAAAAAATAGTTTTAAAAAATTAATTTATAAAATGTTAAAAAAAAAAAACCAGAAGATGAATCTTTAGTATAAAGCAACTGACGACTTGGATATACCATTGCACTCACTCAACGGCTTAGATTCGCTATAAGAATTTGATTAATGAATTAATCTTTACCTTTCGAACAACCCAGACATGTCATGTCAACGACGTCGTTTCAATGCTTGGATTCAGACGGGTAGCAAGACTGAGAGCGCCTTGATCCAGGACCTGTTGCGGAAGCATTCAAAGACGGCGCGGCAATCGAAGGTCGAGCAACCGGCCGTATAGACATTGTTCAACAAATCCTTCAGAGGTTTGAAATTGGAATAAGATAACAAAGTATTAGTAGCCGTAGCCTCCATGAGCAGCAGCAAAGCAAGGAATTTTCGCCGCCGTGCCGGGGATGACGAAGACGAGGGCACCGGCGGCGACACGGTCTCAACAACCAACCCGGTCAAACCCCCGTCGAAACCGTCGTCCATCTCTGGCACCAAGCCTAAGAAGCCACAAGCCCCCAAGCTTCTCAGTTTTGCCGACGACGAAGAGAATGAAACCCCATCGCGTTCGAAACGGCCCGTTTCGGACAAGTCCTCTTCTCGCCTGGCCAAGCCGTCTTCCTCCTCCCACAAGATGACTGCCCTGAAAGACCGTATTGCTCATTCCTCGTCGGCCATCGTTCCTGTTCCTTCTAATGTTCAGCCCCAAGCTGGAACCTACACCAAAGAAGCACTCCGTGAGCTCCAGAAGAACACACGAACTTTGGCCAGCAGTTCTCGTCCTTCTTCGGAGTCTAAACCCTCATCTGAACCTGTTATTGTATTGAAAGGCCTGGTGAAACCTGCGGAACCAGTGAAAGAAGCACCGAAATCGGATTCTGAGGACGAACAAGATGAGCTTAAGGAGAAAAAGGCTGACTTCTTTCGCAGTGTTAGAGATGATGCCCAGGACAAATTGGCTTCAATAGGGCTCACAAATAACAAGAACTCATCTGGGTCGCTGATTCCTGATGAAGAGACCATAAAAGCTATCCGGGCCAAGAGGGAACGACTGAGGCAGGCTCGTCCAGCAGCACCAGATTACATCTCTTTGGATGGTGGAAGCAATCATGGTGCCGCTGAGGGGTTAAGCGATGAAGAACCCGAGTTCCGTGGTCGAATTGCCATGCTTGGACAGAAAATGGAAGGGGGAAAGAAGGGTGTCTTTGAAGATGTAGATGAGAGAGCCATGAATGTGCGCTTAAAGGATATTGGAGACTTTGATGATAATGATGATGAGGAGGAGAAGATGTGGGAAGAAGAGCAATTTAGGAAAGGATTGGGAAAAAGAATGGATGAAGGGTCTAATGCTAGAGCAGGCAGCACTGATGTTCCTGTTGCTCAAGGTGTCCAGCAGCAAAAATTTGCTCCCTCAGCCGCTACTGCATATAGTGCAGCTTCAAGTGCCTCAGTAAGTCCCAGCATAGGAGGAGCGATAGGGGCATCACAAGTATTGGATGTGATGTCCTTATCTCAACAAGCTGAGATCGCAAAGAAAGCTCTGCAAGACAATGTTAGGAGACTTAAGGTATGAGCAGCTTTTATAATTGTCAAACTGTCACAAATATTAAGTTTTATGGGGAATTTTTGGTCTGATAAATGTGATTATGCAATATAAATTGCCTCAAACTTGTCATAATGATAGCAAGTTATATGCTTATATTTCTTTCACCAACCTCTTGCGTCTGAACTAAAGTGTAAACATGGTTCGTGGAACATCTCTCTAGGAATAATCTGGTAAATTTGTTATGCCTTGGATCCATTATGATACTGTTAGAATCTGAATAGGAAGAGAAATGGGAAGAAGAGAAACAACAGGGTATGGAGAGAAAGGTGGGAACTATTAACCCTCTAAAGCCAGGATCTGTGCTTTAGAGTTAGGAGTATCTCCATACATCTGAAGAGTACTTTATTTATGTCACAAGAGCATACAATTGCTGTCAAAGATTCATTGTAACACCCTAGACCAATAACTAACTGAAACTAACTTCACCACGTAGACATCGTAGCATCTACCATATGTACATAACACACTCTGGCATCTGCCACATCACAAATTAACTGGATCCAAGTGACCCTGTCCTTAAGTTAGACATACAGAAACTGGATAACTACGTAGAATGGAATCCTTAAAGATAATTCTTTCTCACTTTCATCCGTAAGGACGACTCTTTCCCAAACTTGTTAAAAATACCCTGTCTTACATTCTCTTCCACGATTCTTCCTTCTACTGTAGGTGATAATGGGTTGTGAAACGGTATCAAATACAGACCAAACTTAGTCACCAAATGCTCTAATCTTTTCCCCAGTATATAGCTTGGGTTTTTTTCCTCTTTTTTTTTTTTTGGGTTGGGGGGGGGGGCTTTGGAATATGCATTTATGCTGCTCGACTATTGCTCCAGTCACTTTAGAAAGTGTTGCAAAGTACTCCCCCTGTCTTCTTAGCTGTCACTTTGCAAGAATTTTTTCTTTTTATTTTAAAGAAGTCTAAGACAACATTAATTACTATTTTACCAATTATGTCCTTATCTTTGCTGACTTTTAATTATGGAGTAGGAGATAATTGATAAAAGAAATTAAGGGCATATTAAGAAATATAAAAAGAACTTTGACATATTTATTGTATTTTTTTAATCTATGTGTTGACATATTATAAAAAAAGATTGACAGAGTAGAAGATTGGGAGTTAACAACAATAAAATTATGCATCTTTACTACTAAGTGATTTTTTTTGAATTGTCATTATCTTCAGCTACTGGTGATCTGTGGTGTGCTATTTTTTATTATCTCTTGAATTCTCCTTGGTTGGCATAAAGTTGAGCAAAATTAACTTTTTTTTTTCTAACTGAAAAGTGCATTCATAAGCTAAAAACAATTATAGCATGACCAAGTCTTCAAGCATAGCCTTTTCATCATCTACCGCCTTTTGAGGGAGAGGTGAGGGATGATCAAAGATACAAAAAGTCACATCCATATAATGGGACATCTTAGCAAGATAATCAGCATATAAATTGGAATCTCTGCCAAAATGATGAATAACTAAGCTCCAATCCTTATGATATAAAAGTCTTGCATCATCAACCAGCTCCTTAAAAGGGTGGGAGTTATCACAACCCTGGTTAGCAGAAGTATAGCCTAGTCACAAAATATATCCGCTGTATGAAATCCCTTGGCCTGACATAAATTGAGGCCATGAATAATAGCAAGTAAACCTGCGAGCACAGCAAAGACATTGATTAATTTACAACTAAAGCCTTGAAACCAATTCCCATCTCTATCCCAAGTAGAACCACCACAGCTACTGCTTCTTCTCAGAAAAACAGAACCATCAACTTCAAGCTTCATAGGCTCATTCCTAGTTGCATTTGCTTTCACACGACAAAGAGGGGGCTAAACTAAGATCAGTATCTAAACACGCCTTGAAAAAACTAGAAAGGGCAGTTTTCTGATCAAGGAGGTTATTCTCATCAATGGCTTTTCTACATCTATCAACCCAAATATCCCAGCAAACATAGCCAAAAAGAGTTGCCCAGGACAGGTTTCTTGTGTACCTTTGACTTGCTTCATGGCTTAGATTCCATTCAACCCACTCCACACTTGTAAGGTTAGTGAACGTGCTCCAGTATCCTCGTTGACCATGGCTTGCCACCTGTTTGATGCATTTGGATAGTCATGGATAAGGTGCATCGAGTCTTCTATCATGTTGCATCCAAAAAGGCAGTTCTACTTGATTGTTAGTCCTCTCCTTTGTCTCAGCTCTTGCATGTGTGCCCTTTCATGTGTAAACAGCCACATAACGGATTTTGTTCTTTCTGCAATGGGCCATCTCCATAGCATTTTCCAGATATTATCTGTGTTTTTCCTTGTACCTGCACAAAGAAAATAGTAGGCAGATTTAATGTTAATAGAACCATCTGTAGATGGTTTCCAAAAGTGTTCATCCTTTCCTCTCTCCTCCCAAGGCAGGTGGGCATGGGTAAGATAAGCAACCATATTTGGATGAAACCAAGAGAGTAGATTTTGTAAGTCCCAGCAACCCTTATTGGTCAATGTAGTCGAACTCTTTCGGTTCTATCAATTGACCCCTCCCTGCTGGCAACCAAAAAAAAAATATTACTAACCATTTTTTATTGCCATTTTGGTTTATACCTATGGAACCCTTTTGAGAACATTCTTTTCATTTTACTGAAATTTGACCAGACTGGGAAAATGAGACGGCATCAGTATGGTTGCATTCATTTCAGAAAACGTTCCTCATTATGTATCTAAGAAAGTATTGGGCTGTATCGGGAGACTAAATATTTATGTTTCCTAACTTGGATGACCATGACTATAACTATTAGGTTGCATTTGGTTAAGACATAGGAAAAGCATTCTCTTTTCATCATGCAAAAAATGAGATATATAATGTCTAATTATCTATTATATTGCCAACACCATTACTTAATAATGACTTCCTTTATATATGAAAAAGAATTCAAGGCTATATCTTTTGGCGGGGGGCTTACAAGTTATAGAGAAAATTGAAGTATTATGTATGTGAAGTGTTCTCAAATTTCAATTATAAGTAGTTGATTGTCTCAGCAGTAAGTTGTATGCTATTACCATCATATCTCTATGCTTTAGATAAGGGCATACTTTTACGTGGCTACGTTGTTTGGATATGAGACTTGTCCATCCAATATGATTTTTCTATTAGATTGATACATCATAAATATTTTCATAATTGTTTGTTTGTTTTTTAACCTTGACAGGAATCCCATGGACGAACAGTGTCATCATTGAATAAAACTGATGAAAATTTGTCTTCCTCACTTTTGAATATCACTACTCTTGAAAACTCCTTAGTAGCAGCAGATGAGAAGTACAGGTTTATGCAAAAGCTTAGAAGCTATGTGGCGAATATATGTGACTTTTTACAGGTAGCTATACTACTTGATTGCTTTATCTTCCTGGTTTGAGCTTGACTACATGTATGAATAACTATAGATAAATTGAGATTGAGCGGTGCTTTATTTTTATGAATTCTATTTCATCTCATATTACATATTTTATGTCTTTCTTTCAATCTTTTATTCCTTGATCTACTTTGAGTTTTAAGAACAATTTTACCTTTTTTTTTTCCAAGGTTTTGGACGGGCTAGGGGGGCATAATCTGTGGATATGCGTTGCTCTCTTAGAGTTGGAATCTTTGTTCTGAATGTTTGTCTTTGCCATTAGATGTATGGGATGGGTAGTATAATGTTTGTGGCTTTCTCGCTAGAGGTGGCTATTTTGTCCTATTAGCCATAGCCGTTTGACCACCTTAATCTGGCCTATGATGATGCAACTACACGCAAATATTCAGGGGCATGAATGAATGGGTTGGGATACTAGGTAAATTTATGAAGCATGGTTTTCATGGGTCAGCTCATGACTAATATTTAACCTGCTCCTTATCACTATTCTTCGTTTACACATTCTTCTAAATGTTGTTCTCAATTGTGAACTAGAACAATCAAATTAACACCCTTAAATCTATTGTGTTAGTAAACGTAAAAATAAGAGGAAGACAAACTTTAGAAATACTTTTCTAAAACTAGTTCAGTTCTGTTGTCTCCCATATCTTAAACTTATTACACGTCTGTCTTACTATGTTTAGTTAGGTGAATCTTAAAGAATGAACGCAGCAAATTCCAGAAGTTTTAGAAATAAGAGGAAGACAAACCTTAGAATTACTTCTCTAAAACTAGTTCAGTTCTGTTGTGTCCCATATCTTAAACTTATTACACATCTGTCTTACTATGTTTAGTTAGGTGAATCTTAAAGAATGAAAGCAACAAATTCCAGATGTTTTATTGAATGGATTGAATTATTAAGGAAAGTAATAAGAATATGAATTGAAAGATGAGTAACTTATGTATATACATGAGCGTTATTATCCCAAGGAAAAAAAATCTAATGACCAAAAAGCATTCTTGCTTAATAGAGTTTAAGAAAGAAAATTTTATTTAATAAATTATATATTGAATCAATCATTTTTGCTCTGTTCTCTCTCTGTATCTTGCGAAGAAAGACTCAAATTTTTTGTACAGCTCTCTTTTTTTAATTTTTAATTTTTTTGGTTTTTTGTTTTTAATGGAGTGTATATCCTCCTTCCACATATAGTGGAACAAGGAAGCATTACTACATGTTCAAATTTATACCTTTCTACCTTCTCAATATGATTTCTTCTCTTAACATGGGCGAGCGTGTGTCTTTGTCTGCTTCTCTTTTGGGTGGGGAGGGGGCATGTCTGTCTGTGTGATTTGATAGACCTCCTGCCAGGGCCTTTTTTATGCAGACCTAAACATGAAACAAGATGGGAGGATAATCACTTGCTGCTCAAAAATAATATGGAAAACTTAAAACTTCCATTGAATTTTATTTGCAGAATGTTGAAGATTATGCATTTAGTTAGCCATGATCCCGTCATTATTCTATTAGCAGCAAACCTTGATTAGTGACATGGAGTTTATGGACAATTTCTTGTCTTTATTTTCTCCAGTCTGGCTGCCATCTTTCTCATCAGTTTGTCCTCCTTGCTCTTGACATATAAAACTTCCACTCTCCAGTCTGGATGAAAGAAAATGGATTCTTTTAGATATTGTTTTATGTTGCCTTTATCAATAATAATTTGATCTGAAGCAGTGTTTCTTATAGGGTTTTTAAGAAATTGTTCTCCTGGATATAAAATTTGGAAATTTAAGTGCCTGCTTGTCTCTTTACCCAAAGCTACTCTGGGATATCATTTATCAACTTTTTGCTAAGATAATTCTGTAACTTCCAGCATAAAGCTCCTTATATTGAGGAACTTGAGGAGCAGATGAAGGGTCTTCATGGAGATCGTGCTTCAGCTATCTTTGAAAGAAGAAACACCAATGATGATGATGAAATGAAGGAGGTAGAAGCAGCTGTGAAAGCTGCAATGTCAGTTTTCAACAGGAAAGGTAGAAATACTGAAGTAATTGCTGCTGCTGCAAGTGCAGCTCTGGCTGCTTCTACTGCTGCAAGAGAGCAAAGAGACCTACCAGTGAAGTTAGATGAATTTGGTAGAGATTTAAACCTTGAGAAACGGATGAAAATGAAAGCACAGGAAGAGGGACGCCAACGCAGGAAACTTCAGGCACTTAAACCTAATAAACAGGCATATATGGAAATAGATGATCAAAAGATAGAGGGAGAATCCAGCACTGATGAGAGTGATAGTGAAAGCCAAGCTTATCAATCACAATGTGATTTATTGCTGCAGACTGCGGATCAAATTTTCAGTGATGCAGCTGAGGAATATGGCCAGCTCTCTTTGGTTAAAAAAATATTTGAAGAATGGAAAAAACATTATTCATCAAGCTATCGTGATGCTTATATGTCATTGAGTCTTCCATCTATCTTCTCTCCATATGTGAGGTTGGAACTCCTGAAGTGGGATCCACTCCGCAAGGCATCTGGTTTTCAAGATATGAAATGGTGAAAAAAAAAAGTATTGAATTTGTTACTGATCTGTTTGAGATACTATGTTACTTATCGTGTTTTCTCCTCACTTCTCATGTTTAGGTATAAATTGTTGTTCACCTATGGTTTGCCTGAAGATGGTAAAGATCTGGTGGATGATGATGATGTCGACCTTGAACTTGTCCCTAATTTGGTGGAGAAGGTTGCACTTCCTATTCTTCAGTATGAAATTGCCCATTGCTGGGACATGCTTAGTCTACAGGAAACAGTTAATGCAATTACTGCTACGAAGTTGATTGTACAACATGTGTCTCATGAGAGTGATGCTCTTGCTGATCTATTAGTTTCCATTCGGGCACGATTGGCTGATGCTGTTGCTAATATTACGGTATGAAGTTTATATGCAAGTTTCCATTTACTTTACAGGCGCTCTTATTCAAAGGCTCAGTTGCATGCATATTTGCATGTCTGATTTATTAAATATGCGCATGACTGTTTAGTTTTGCAGGTCTGCATGAGGATGATTTTTCAAACGAAGTGGCCATGTAGCTGCAGGATTTTGTTTCCTTTTATGGCATTGAAGAATGAAATTTTTGTCTTGTCAACTCTTGTAGGTCCCAACATGGGGTCCGCTGATACTAGCTGCTGTTCCCGATGCTGCACGAGTCGCAGCATATCGATTTGGTGTGTCCGTTCGACTATTGAGAAATATTTGCCTGTGGAAGGATGTTTTTGCAATGCCAGTATTAGAGAAGCTAGCCCTTGATGAGCTTTTGTTCGCAAAAGTTTTACCTCACTTTCGAGTTATTTCAGAAAATGTACATGATGCAATAACAAGAACAGAACGGATTATTGCTTCCATATCTGGCGTATGGGCTGGCCCAAGTGTTGTAGGAGATAGGAGGTATGATGATTGTGTTTTTTTCTCCCCTGACATTTTAACGATTACATTTATTTATCTTTGAACTAATTTGTGCAGATTGAGCCTTTTGAATCACATCAGTACTAATTTGGTCGCTTGTACTAGCTGAACATTAATTGAGTATCTGTATGAGTTATTTATCAGGTTATGATCTACAGTGTGGTTAATAGGGGCGAAAAATTTTCACTTGTACATGAAAGAGGTGAAGAAAACGGTTGTAATTATCACCTTTTCCAATTACTACAGAAGAGAGTTAGCTAATTATGTAGAGGTAATCGGAAACCAAAACCAAAAGTTTCCAACAATCATTTAAAATCATGGATGGGGATTTTATCACCGAAGAGTAACTGATGTCAAGTGAGAAGAATGAGATGAATCAGAGGCAATTTGTTGTGGGGATTCACAGTGCCTTTGTCATTAAGATGTTTTTGTGCCCCTGTAGGTACCTTCCTTTTTCAGATGAGGCTATATAGTTTGAAAGATTATAATTAGGTCCTTACAGATCTCAATTTGGTAATTAGATCCTTGTGCTTTTGCCTCAGATCTTTCAATGTATATTGACATCATTTAAGTCTCTGTTATTGTCTGCAAGTACTTGTTAACCAACCTGGCTTTTCAAATTACTATCTTTTGATTTATGGTTCTGCAGCTAGCTAAAAAGAATTTGCTTTTTGGCTTGACGGGTTGAACATGCCAAGTCATCAACTTGATTGACATGTAAAGTTTAAAAAATCTTGATTGACAAGGGGTTGAACCTGTCAAATCATCAACTAGTTAGTATACCTTACATGGTTTGTCATGCCCAATCACAAATTTAGGTAGTATATTGAGTACCCTTCAAATGGTACTAGAACAGTCAGTAGCCCTAGGAAGGGCTACTCGTGGCTGGGGGATCCGATTTCCAAATGTAACCACTGGGACATCTACATCTCACACAATTTGGAAGGTTATTGGATGTATGAGATGCTTCATAGAGTATTTAAGATGGGTGACTCATCTCAATAGCTGCTTTTGCCCCCATCCCACTTCATAACCTTCTGAAACTACAAGGGCTTAAAGATGTGCCTAATCTTATAACATGCATCTGTATTGTTGTTTTGTGTACTTTTTTTCAGCTGGGAATCTCATGTTTCATTGCCCTTCCTTGTGTTCATGTGTAGTCGCAAGTTGCAGCCACTGGTTGATTATGTGCTGTCACTGGGAAGGATTTTGGAGAAAAGAAATGTTGGTGGTGTAATGGAAGGTCACACAAGTCAACTTGCTCGGCGTTTGAAGAAAATACTCGTTGACCTTAATGAATATGATAATGCCAGGAACATAGCCAGAACCTTCCATCTGAAGGAGGCATTGTGAGCTCGGAGCTGTGACAAATTTAGGATTATTTTCTAGGGGCCTCCTTACAACCGAAGTGGGCTTTTATACTGAACATTCATGTGGGGTATGCATTACAATTGCATGTCGTATGGACCATGAAAATTACTGAGTTATCTCACCCCCACACCACAGACAAAGGCGTATGAATAAGAACCTGCTGGGACATGTGTACTTCATCATTGTTCTTTCTCTCACAGACATGGCAGAGTTCTAACAGCAACCATAAGATGCATATATTCCCTCTTCTTTCTGGTTGTGCAGAGGGAGGCATTCCTTCGTCCTTGCCGCCGGTTGTTTTGCCGTTGGTTCTGCTGGGTTTGGGGTCCAAGAGGAAAGAGAGATATTGTAAAAATTTCGCCGGGTTTTTATAATTCGTGTTTTTAGGGGATTATATCATCATAAGTTGACTCTAGCCTAATGCTAATGTTCAAAGTTTTGGTTTATCCAGAGGATCTTCACTGATAGGCTTTCCATATGACTAGGAATTACCTTTCTCATTAGTGATGTGAGAACATGCTTCCCTGAATGAATTCGTTGTCCTTGTTTAAATTTTTGCCAAGCCCTCAGCAGTGTGATGTGATGTTATCCGTTTTTTGGAAAAAGCCAGTTATAAAACCTTGAATGGGCTTACGTTTTCTTGTGGCTTTGGCAGATTATCCTCCATTGGCCGGGCCTTGAGAATGGATAATTTGTTATAAGCCTCTAGGCCTGGTCAAAGCCCACTGCACGATATGCTAAATTTTGGTTTTCAATGTAGGATTCAGTTTATATAAACAAGGGAGATCAAATTTATTCTTGGTAGGTGTGAAGGCATGCTAAATTATTTAATGACTGTTGAATTCTTTTCCCCCCAATTTTGGGTCAAAATGGCTTTTGAATTTGATTCCAAGATGTTGACCCAAATATTAAAAAAAAAAAGTCTCAAAGATAGTGGTTCGGTTTTGAGAAAACAAATGGGCTATGTGGCCCCAAATAAAGAAAGAAAACAAATGGGCTACATTTCACACAACTGGCATTAAAATGTTTTGGGCTCCACACAGGCTGAACTTTATGTTGGGCTATACAAGATTTGTACTTTGCATTGGGCCTCAAGGGAAATGTTAAGATTTGAGTTTAGGAACCAATAAGACTTGGGTCTAGCAGAAGGGAATAATCTGTCATAATGTGGCAAAATAAAGTTTGAAACTTTAGTAGGAGATAGGGTTGTATAAAAGTTTTCTAATCCAGTTTGGCCCAGTATAACTTGAGACAAACTTGACCCTGTTCGATTCAGATAAAATTTGGTCTTAGGATTAAAAAGATCATACTCTTTCTTTAGGTTAGATGGACAAAAGACCAAGTATCTGGATCATTTGGTCCGATCCATTCCTATAAATTTATTAAATATAATTATAATTAATTTATTAATTATTATTATAATAAGTTAATTTATAATAATAATTAGTTATTTTTTTGTGTTTTATACTTGTAAAATCATAAATATTGAGCAAAATTTTAGCATTGACTAACCTCAGTCTTCTCCTTTCATTGGTGAAATTTGTTGTTAACTTGATGTGATGAACTTTAAACATGTTAAATGTTGTTTATTATTGTTTGAAGGTTATTTAATTTGAATCATTTGTGTTGTAATTGAAATACTTTTTCTTATTATTAGAGATTGTTGTGGATTTATAATTGTTGTTGTTGTGATAAGTTTTATATTACTATAAGTAATTTTATTATGTTAATTGAGTTTATTATGTTAAAATTGCTACTTCTCATAGATGACAAAGGAAAAAAACAAAGTGAAATACTGAACAATACTGAGACCAATCTCTTAGTCCTACTAGACTAGTCCAATTCTATTTGATTTCAGGTTGTACTAGGATTAGACCAAATTATGAGTTGTTTAACTCAATCCTTTTCATGAAAAGGATCAGACTTCATATTAGGTTGAAGTCCTATCGGGTCAATTTTTTGTGTAGCCCTACTAAGAGAGATGCCCACATGCAAGTTTTTATTGTTCGAAATTTGAACCAAACCACACTAAATCTTACATTTATTTTTTATGTTTTTTTATAAATTTCTGTAAATTCTCTCTTTCCTAAGTATGTCACTAATAAAAAATATATTACAATTATTTAACTATTGTCTATAATTATTTTTGATAATTTTTTAAATTTATACTCAAGTATTTTATATATTAGTTTTTAATAATTAAATATACTAATCAAATTGTTTAAAGGAAAAGGCTGAATATGTTTCAAGCTTTAATGAACTGACTGGTTTGATTTTTCTTTTTCCTTATAAAAATCAAACCAAACTAAATTCGTGGATACCCTTACTGAATATATTAATTTTATTTTACTATTTTGTTTTAGGGTTAGAGGGTAATTTAACCACAAATTGAAAGTTCTAGGAGCATTTGAGACTACAAACTCATTTTTTGTGCGATGTTCCCTCTTAATTTTTGAAAATAGTGCAATGTAACGTTTATCATTAACAATAGTTAATGTTGATCATTAGGTGATCAGAAAATGATTAAAAAAATTATAGAAAATGACCCGTTCTTTAACTCATTGTTTTATTTGTTTCTAGTTAAGTACTCCCTCCGTCCCACATTAGAAGACACTTTTGGATAAAATCTTACATATTATTAAACCTTATTAAATATACTTAAGAATCTTATCTTTTTAAAATAAAAATAATAACTTACAAAAATATCTATAATTTAATATATTAAAAAGAGAATGGAAGGAAATTCATTATAGAAAAAAGTAATATTAAAATTTGTACATTTATTAAAATTTTAATATACCTAAGATGTCTTATATTTTAAATAAAATTTCTTTTTAAAAAATATTTTATAATTTATTACGGAAAGAGTATAAACTTTCTAAGTGTTGTTGAAATCCTATAACTGCAAATAGGAATACAGACTAGGTTAGAGGAATCGTGAGCTCAATTCAAACCGTTTTCCAACTTTAGTCATTGTGACCCACCAGAAAGTTTGATTCATCATTTCATGTAAATGAATTGAGTACCCCACGACAGGTCCTGGCGGGTAGGAATGCATGCATGAATACAATCACCTAACCACCTTCCCAAAATTGAAAAAGGCCACCAATCCATTAAGACCCATTTCATCTTCATATTCAACATCTGTCCACTTTTCATTTTTTTATTTGTCATTCACTGAAAAGTAATTACATCCAATTGCAATGCAGCTGAGAATATATTGTAATATAATTAATGCAGATTCTATGAATTTTTTTCTTAAAAATTGCCATATTATATATAGAATTAGTAATTCAGACAGATCAGATTTATTAGAATTAAACTTAAAATATTAAATATAAAAAAAGTTTATATAATAAAGCCTAATTCTAACACCTTGGACTTATTTGAATTAGCTTGGATATTCAAATTACTAAATATTATTTTATTTATTTATTTTAGTTGATTTCAATCTTTATCTTAAAAAAATTAAGATTTTCAATTTTACCTAATTTTAATTTGATTTTATTAATAATAAAATTTTAAGAGTGTTTGGACTAAGCTCATTTGGAATTTGGGTTTGGCTTAGATTTCTTGCAAAACTTTCAAACAAGAGCGGAGCCAAGATTTAATCGGCCAGGTTTAAAACACATATACACTGTAAAGCTATTCTAAATTTTACCCCCCTCTATGCTTACTAATAAGCTCAATCTTAAGATTTATTGGACTACTTATGAATAGAAAATGATAAAGTATTTTTTTAATTGCTGAATAATTGTTGTTTTATGAGGATTAAGTAAATTGTGTTATCTAGTTGTTTTATAAGGGACATAAACTGTCATGAGAATTAATATTTAGAAGTAATAGTTCTTTTGAGAAGAAGAAAGAAGGAATTGGTTGAACTCGTTTTTGTAGCATTTCTTGAGTGTTTTTGTTGGCTTCAACTATTGACGTGTATCATATTTTTTTTTGAATAATAATAAAAATAAATTTTTTTCTAGCAAAAATAAAAAATACTTGTTTAAATGAAAAGTTATCAAATTTTCAAAAGCTTCCGACCAATTCTCATGGCGGACAGATATATCTGTTCGTCAACTCTCATCACTTTTTTTTTTTGTTTTGTTTGGGTAAACAAAAAACTTTAATCACTTTTGAACTGTTATAATTGGCAAATACATCTTTGTATTGGTGATTACCTAAAAAGGGAACAATATTAAGGAACTAAAAGATTGAATTAAATTTAAATAAGAACCAAAAGATTTAGAAATCACAAATGAGGACCAAAAATCTTTTGGCGAATTGATTTAAACATTTGCTATTCTGATTTTATTATCTATAAGTATCAAAATTAGAATTTGCATGTAAAATTCGCTAATTTGTAAAGAAAAATTTGTCAATATATCACTATTTCTAATAATTTTCTCTCATGATTTGCAACCCTTAAAACACAAATTTGCAAGTATTTTTTTTTTTAATTCGTAAAGAAAAGTGGGGGTATAACTTTTTCAACAATCATTATTTCTTGTAGTTTGCTACTTTTGTACCTTAATGTCAAAATCGTTCACAAATAATCTGCAAGTTAGATATTTTTGTTTTAAAAAAAATTAGTGAATTTTACTCTTAAATTCTTGTTTTAATGGTTGTAAATCATGGAATGAAAATAGTTGATACTTCGATCAATTCACTAAAGGACCTTGGCCATTAGTGAACATTTAGACCAATTCACTAAAGACCAATACCACATTAAGATCAATTACTTGGATACCAATTCTTGTTTTGGCCTTTATTTAAATTTAATTAATTTAATATTTTTAGTCTTCTAATATTATTCCCCTCACCTAAATCACCATTTTATCATGGCATTTCTTTTCTTAGTGGATGTTTCTATTTCCATTATGCTAATTAATGTGATTCCAAATGCAGTCATGTAATACGCCAATCCCCTCTCCCAAAAAATATATATATATATATATACAAAAAAAAATTATAAATAGATTTTCAAAGCATATGAAACAAAGGATTTAGTGAATGATACCAATTCACTCACCCAATGAATATTTTTGATTATAATAATTGCATTTCATCAGTGGTCGAATATTATTAAGATATATTTCTCTTAAAAAATTTAAAACAATTCTCATGATCAAAACATTTCTCACACAAGATATTCCTTCTAAAAATTTAAGATTTCATGCTTTCAAAGAATCAATTGACAAAATATCTCATATTTGTTTGATTAAATCAAATAATTGTTATTCCCTCTATTAAAAAATATAAAACATTTTTAATAGAATTTTATCTTTCAATAAAGTAGTTACTTATTTTTAAATTAACCTCATCTTTCTATATTTACCCCTATAAATACCTTAAAATAAATATAAAATAATTTATTTAATAGGGGCACTTTTAAAAAATAATAATTATTCATTAAAAAATTAAAAGTATTTTATATTTTTAAATATTTAACTTTTTAAAAAATATTTTATATATTTAAATAAAAGGAGTATCATCTTATATGCAGTATTTATTGAATAAGTGGAACAGTGACATTGAATGGGTCCAAATCCTGGAGA